AATATTTTAGGGGGGGGTGGTGTCTCACAGGGTTGATGCACAGGGTTATTCCTGGCTCTGCACTTCAGGAACTACTCCTGGTGGTACTCAGGGGACCATATGGGATGCTGGGAATTTAACCCGGATAGGCTGTGTGCAAGACAAATGTCCTACCCGCCGTACTATCACTCCAGCCCCACATTTTTTTTGAAGTATGTATTATCGCCAATGTAAAACAAATGTGTATGATGTACTGAAACAAAGTATTTGCCTAGTTTTTACCTTTTCCCCCTCAAAATTGTAGAAATCAAGGAGCAGACAATAGGCGACATCTTTTTTTTTTAAATCCATAGATGGTGTCACATGGTATTTAAATTTAGTGATGATTCACCTGTTTGAGGATCTTTTGATTAGCACCAATGGACCTAATACAACTCTGACCAGAGCATCCATCCATCAGCCTGGACAGAGCATCCCTGGGAGAGGACCTGACAATTGGCCCCAGCACTACTAGGTGTAATCACCAATAAAACTAGACTACTAGCATGGGGGTTGGAGAGTACAGTGGAAAGGGTGCTTGCTTTGTGGCCAAACCGATACCAGGGAGCACACCATGTGATCCCTGGAGCACTGTCAGGCTTGACCCTGAGCACACAACCAGGAATAAGCCGAGAACCCCTAGGAGAGCCCCCCAAAGCAAAAAATAAATAAAAAATAGGCTATCACTATCACTATTTTCCCATTGTTCATCGATTCGCTAGAGCGGGCCCAGTAACATTGTGAAACTTGTTACTGTGTTTGGCATACCGCTTTTAATGGACAGCTAGACATCTTATTTCATGTGAAAACTAACCTTGGTTTTAGTTCACTAGTACTGCTGTTAATATTTGTGTATGAGAAACACCAATAAACAACAGTGCTGGGGCCACCAGGGGAACATTGCTTTGGGAGTCATGAAAGCTACACTTGGGCTCCAAGGAACTGATCTCGTGGTCTTGCAACATGCTTGGCTTGTCCTCTACCACTGGAACTGTCTCCCTGGTCCAGGTGCACACTTTTTGGTACACCTGTGGTGCTCAAGGCTTAGTCCCGACTCTGCACTCAGGGATCAGTCCCCATGGGGCTCAGGGCACCATGTATGGTGGTGGGGATGGGACCTGGGCTGGCTGTGTGCAAAGTAAATTCCCTACACACTATGTCTATAGCTCCCTCCTCCGATTTTTGAAAGATTCTTCTACTAACAAAAGAATCACAGGATGGGTCATTTTATATATATATATATATATATATATATATATATATATATATGATAAAGGCCCTCCCGTTGATCATCGATTTGCTCGAGCGGGTCCAGTAACGTCTCCATTGGAGACTTTGTCGTTACTGTGTCTGGCATATCGAATACGTCACGGGGAGCTTGCCAGGCTCTGCCGTGCGGGCGAGATACTCTCGGTAGCTTGCCGGGCTCTCCGAGAGGGGCCGAGGAATCGAACTCGGGTTGGTCATGTTGGCTGCGTGCAAGGCAAAACGCCCTACCGCTGTGCTATATATATATATATATATATATATATATATATATATATATATATCTCAAGATCGGGGCTGGAGCGATAGCACAGAGGGTAGGGCATTTGCCTTGCATATGGCCGACCCAGGTTCGATTCCCAGAATCCCACATGGTCCCCCGAGCACTAGGATTCCTGAGGGCAGAGCCAAGCAGTAACCTCTGTGCATCTCCAGGTGTGACCACGCCCCCTCCAAAAATATCAGGGCATTTAAAAATTCTTGCAAATTCCAAAGTTCTAAAAAATCTTTTTAAAGTATTTTATGTTGTTAAAAAAATATTTGTAGGGCTGAAGCAATAATGCAGCAGGTTGGGTGTTTGCCTTGCATGAAGCTGACCCGGGGTTCCATTGATCCCTGGCATTCCATATGCTGCCCCTCCCCCCCAGCAGTAATTCCTGAGTGCAAAGCCAGGATGAACCTCTGAGCATTGCCGGGCGTGACCCAAAAAGCCAACAACAACAACAACAAAAAGTACTGGGGACATTGGTGGTGGGGAATGTGCACTGGTGGAGGGATGGGTGTTTGATCATTGTGTGATTGTAACCCAAACATGAAAACTTGTAACTATCTCACAGTTACTCAATAAAATTTAAAAAAAGAATCTTTGCAAAATCTTTTCAGAATCAGAATTGTTTTTCCAGTAAAGAATAAACCTAATTACATTTTTTGAGAATAAACATTTTCTTAATGCATATTTCAATTTTTTTTTAGAATTTTTCTTTCTAAAAATGTTTTTGAAATTCTATGGTTTGCAATAATGGCTTCTCTTGCACATAGTTCCAACACCACATCCTTACCAGTGTACCTGTCTCCTTTTCCCAAGGACCCCCAACATCCCTCCCTTTCAAACCTTGCCCCTCCCCCATCTCAATTGTGTGGATCAATTCTCTCATTCTGTTCCCTTTGGCCAGTTATATTTTTCAACCTGTCTGGATGTATGAAGACTAGGATATGATTGAACATCGATTTTTTTGGGGGGGAGGGGAGCCTACTTGGGGCCACACTCTCTCTTCAGATCTGAATGCTTTTTAGAAATTTAAAAAATCAGTATGTCTTAGGCTGACTTTTGATAGCTTTATTTAAACATTTATCTTAAGAAGAGTGGGGAAGCCAATTTTATTTCTCACTTTTTTCAAATAAAAATTTATTAAAGGCATTGTGATTTACAAAGATACTTTTCTTTTGGGCTTTTTTGGGTCACACCAGGTGATGCTCAGGGGTTACTCCTGGCTCTGTACTCAAAAAGTACTCCTGGCGGTGCTTGGAGGACCATATGGGATGCTGGGAATCGAACCTGGTTCGGCCACTTTCAAGGCAAACACCCTACCCACAGCACTGTCCCTCCGGTCTCTGATTTACAAAGATTTTTACAGTTAAGTTTCGGGCACACGATGTTCTGGAACCCAAACCAGAACTTTCTTCCACCAGAGTGTGTCACACCTCGCCCCACCCTGCCCCAACGTGCCTTCTTGACAGTTACAGTTTAAGTTTGGTTGTTGAAACTGGGTTCTCATGAGAAAGCCATTTTTTTCCCCCCTTAAATTTTTATTAGTGAAACACCATGAGGTACAGTTGTAGACTTACAAATTTTTGTGCTTGGCGTTATAGTTATACAATGAGTACCCATCCCTCCACCAGTGCCCATTCCCCACCACCACCAATCCCAGTATCCCTCCCCCCGCCCCCACCTCTGTGGCAGGGCGCTCCCTTTTGGTTGCTGTGGTTTGCAAAAGAGACATTGAGTGGCAATCATGTTCGGTCCATAGTCTAAAGTTTAATGGACTGACAAGGATCAAAGAACAAATTGATATAACAGCAGCCCTTCACCAAGTTATTGCTATAGTACTTGGCTTTAGTCTCTTGGTTCTATATTTATCAACTATAGCCCTCCTAGTTATACTTCAAGCTAGTTATTTCTAGCCTCATCTTATTGATAAGGAAAGAGCGGCTTATAGAGGGTAAAAGTGCCTCACCAAGTTTTTTCAGCTGATGAAATTTGGCTAGCATATCTTGGAAAGCCTTATGTTGGCCCTGACACTGCTGGCCTTGAAAGGACAGCTGTGAATGAGAGAAAAAAAAAGTCTCTGTTTTCAAGTAGTTTACATTCTAGGGGTAAGTGTGGATTTGAATGTCACTGCTGAACTCTCAATAGTTTTTGTCAGAGCTTCCAAACTCCCTCCTGCTAAGGACACTACAAAAGAGATGGGTGAAACTGGTTCAGTGTCGGTAAAGAAGATGTGTGATGAAACAATCCACATAAGGAATACGTTATAAGACAGAAATAGGTGAGTATCATTAAGACATATGAACGGAGAACCCAGATGTATGACAGGGAATAGAAAACCTATGCTACACAAACATAAGGTCAGCTATAGAAAAATATTAATGTCAATAGCTGTTACAGATAAACTTAAAGATCAGTATAACCCTGATGGTCTTTAGCTGGTGATGGTACTTCAAGTACTTGAAATGTGTCTAGTGCACTGAAGAAATGTATTTAAAATTCTTTGGAAAAAAAAACACAACTGACAATCCAGTCACTAGTTTCTTTTTGCATGCTTGGAACAATCTGGGTGTGTGAACGAAGTTACTTTATGCCAACGTAAATTTTAGGAAATTCATAGATAAAATAAATACTGATTAAAACTCAGAATCTGAACTGAGATGTCCTACAATACACACACATATGCGCACACACACACACACACACACACACTCACACGTGGTTCTGAAGATGGTAGAAAACCAATAAAGTCATAGTCATTTCTGAAATACTGATTATAGGCTGAATTGACATTTTGTAGATATTCTGGGTAATATAAAATGTTATTAAATTTAAACTTTTAAATATTTTACTTTGTTATATATTTAATGGGATATTTTAAATTACATATATAGTTTGTATCATATTTGTGTTGAATGGTGCTGGGACAGGAACCTTACCTAACAGTCTGGTTCATAGATACTTTTTCTGATTTTTGGCATCAAAATAATTTTCTAGCATACCTTATTACCTTTTTTTTTCTTTCTGATTTTTGTGTCTCATTTCCTAGCATACCTCATTACTTTTTCATTTTTTTTTTCTGGCTTTGATCAGGGATTACCCCTGCCTCTGTGCTCCAGGATCACTTCTGGCTGTGCTCTGGGGCCTACATAGGGTACCATGTCAGTCATCGTATGCAAGGCAAAAACTTTACTCGAATTACTATCTCTGTGGTCCTGACTGATTACCTTTATTGTCAAAAGCTATATATAGCTGATTATCTTTCTATTGATATTAAAAGTCATGCAATAAAACCGTGTTAATATTTTTGTAGTAGAAATATAAAAATTGGTTTTGCACATGTTAAAATAATTATATTAACAGTTGGTAAACAAGATATGTAGACAAATATAACATATTTATTTCCGAAGAATATTTTCCAGGGTAAGATTTTTTTAAATAGCCAGTAAAATATAAGTATTCTGTGGGATGATATTCAAGGACTGACAGGTTTTGGGGAAAGAACATTTTATATGTACATAGATATGTGTACATATGCATACACACATACATATGTGTATACATGTATACGTTACACTTTAGAACAACAGCATTATAAAAAGTATAAAAACAGAAAAAAGACAAACATTACATTTTGTTTAGAATTTCAGAGTTGCTTTCTTTTCTTCTCTTTTCCCTTTACTTCAAAAGTTATAAATACTTTTGATGCAGCATGTATAGTCGCACTCTTGATTTTCTGTTGTAGAGTTAATGAACTTGAGGGTCTGGACGACGGGTGGTCATCTATTTGGCCTTCCCATTCCTTCACTTCTTCTTCCTTGATTAATAAAGGCTTTCCTAGGGTCTGACCAACAAGGGTACAGACTTCTTGAGCTTTGCGCCGGGCATTCTCAACAGCAACGAGGCAGGCTCGCCGTCTTAGGAATTGAATGCAAAGGTTATTATTGCAACATTTAATAAGAAGTATCATTTTACCGATCTTAATTTACTGGTCACTTTAAAGATGTGTTCAACTCACCGAAGATTCTCAACAGAATCTGGAGTGTGATAGAACTGGGGTTCACTGATGATAACAGAGCTATCTAGCTTTTCAACAAGGAAGTTGCAAATATTTTGCATTTTTCCAAATTCAGTAAATACAATACACACCTGTAAATAAAATGGCATTCAAAATTATTTTCATGTATAATGCATTATTTCAAAGTTTCTGTAGATATAAAAAAGTGTCACTTTCTAGAATGCATAAATAGCTTGATACTTTATACTTGATACTTTGTACTTGACAGTACCCGATACTTTAACCATCTTTTCCACTAAATTTAATATTTTGCTAATATACTGTATAATTATATAATACTAATAAGCATTTAAAGTGCATTTTATTTATTTTATTGTAGTTTAGGTAACATTTTTACCATGTATTAACATTTTTTAACATTAACTTTTTTATATACAATTACTGCACCTCACCACCACCAAATTTTATTTTACTTTTTTGTGTTTTTATTTAAAAAATTTTTTAGTAGTGAATCACCCTGAGGTACTGTTTCATACTTACAAACGTTCATACTTGCATTTCAGTCATACAATGATTGGTTGCCCAACCCTCCACCAGTGCCCATTTTCCACCACTAATGATCTCAGTATCCCTCCCCTCTCTCTCTCCCCCCCTCGCCTCTGTGGCAGGGCATTCCCTTTTGCCCTCTCTCTCCTTTTGGGTATTGACCACGACCAAATTTTAAACACACATAAAAGTACAAGGAACTTTCTGATAGCAATACTCTGCCTTCAAGAATGATCACTCCATGGCAAGGAGAACACACCCATTAGGGTCTTAAACAGTGACCTTCTTGCAAGAGCAAGAGAGCAAGAGAGAGAGAGGAGAGACAGAGAGCACAAGAGAGTGTTATCTTGTTCAATTCTTCTTCTAAGGGTATTCATCTTGTCACATGGGTCCCAACCTCATGATCTAATCAAAAACCTAATGGCTTCCTACAGGACCTGCCTCAAAAGATCACACTGGGAACTAGGGCTTCAAAATAAAACTTCTGGGGAGAGAGACTTTCTTTCAGGCCTTAATACTTTAAATATGATGAAATTTCAGTTACTGTGCTTACCATCTAGCATTCTTTAACATATCTAACTATCCATGAGAACAGTGTTATATCTAAGGCAGCAGGAATTGTCTAATACTTATCCATCGTATAAAGTCACACAATGTTCTTTACGCAGAGGCTTGCATTCTCTGTACCTCGGGATCCCACAGCTCTCGTCTGACTGTTCATGCTGAGTATAGATGAGATAAGCTGTAACTTCCGGCTACTAGGGAGCTCTCTACAAAACTTCATTCGACACTCTCTTAAGAGGTCTGAATACAAGCGATTTATCTGTTTGCTTTTTGTTTTGGGACCATACCCAGCAGTGCTCTAGGTTTATTCCTGGCTCTGTGCTCACAGATCACTCCCGGCAGTGCTTGGGGAGCCATACGGAAGGCTGAACGGATTTTCCACCTCTAGATTCTTGATTAGATGGACAAGATTCTATTTTAATCTTATTCCTGGATGTTTACTGTGGTAAGGAGGATGGACCAAGTACAGACCACAAAATGCTCAGGATCATAACCCGCAGTCCAATAACCTAGTATTAATTACAACATACTCAGATTTTATAAAACGCCAATCACAAAAATCTTTAAAGACGAGCTAAAAGTATAGGACGTTGTAGGAACTAAGTATCATTGGCTGAGTAGAAATATATATTATTTGTTTTAATTTGTGCAAAGGTTAGTTTTTACTTTACTGTAAACCTAACAAAACATAAAGCATGAATCATACTTTAGCACTGTCCTCCTGTGGTTCATCGATTTGCTCGAGCTGGCCCAGTAACGCCTCCATTGTGAGACCTGTTACTGTGTCTGGCATACTGAATACGTCACTACGATAAAATTTTCTTATGAAACTAACAAGTTGAAAGTTGATGTTAATATTATTTTCTTTTTATTTGACATTTCCTGTAGTGTTTCCTGCCCATCAGATGATAACATAACAAAACTTCTATCCAAGTGGCAACTAAGAAATGGTCCTTGTAACTTTTGTTACATTTCAAAACAGCATTTACCTTAATCTTACTAAATTTTTTAAGAGCCCAGAGAGATTTATAACACCAAAAGGATTTTGAGAAAAAGAAGCTTTAGTAGACATCATAAGAGCATTTCCCCCATAAGTTTCGATTCACACATAAAAATAAATGTAAACAGTCCACACGAAATCAGACAATTTCTGATTATTTGCTAAGATAACGACCTACTTCTGCTTCCATGTGATAGGCATTTTCCACTCTTCTGAAATCCTTAGTCACAGTTACATTTTCTGCCTGAAAGAGAATATTTTCAAGACTATGATTAGAAAGTGTTTAGCTACTAAATGAAATCACTCTAAGACATAAGGTAGAAACCCGAGCTTATTAAAATCAGAGTGCTATTAATTCATGCATAAAGAACTGCTTTCCCGATACTTTAAAAGTTCCTAAAGATAACATAAAACACAGAATTCTAAAATATTTCCTGAAAACATAGCAATTGCCATTCCATTTGTAGAAATTTTTAAATTAGCTTTTACAACAGAGTATGAACTGAAGATGGTATATATAGAAGGCATTCTTTTTATAGAAAGCCTTTCAAATGTTCTGAGTATTTGAGTTTTAACAGTACATGCAACTTTTAGTTGCATGCAACTCAATTTCTTCAGCCTTAATTTCCCTATTTATAAATTTGGGCTAGACCATGATACCACACTGAACTCTTCTGATTTAACAAGTTGTATGTTAAAGTGTTTAATGGCAGAATGCACATTCAGTAAATGTAGACTATATCTTAGCAACTGCATATTAGACAGCAAAATTAAGATTATTAAGTTTCCCCCAGCACTACTAATGTAAAACAAAAAAAGTTTTTTTCATTTTCCAAATTTTATCAGTATAAAACTGACATGTAACACTGTGCATGTTTAAGGACTATAACATCATAATTTGATACATACATATACTGTAAAATGATTACAATAGTGCAAATTTTACATAAGAGATTAGAATTTAGGACCAAAATGAAGAAATAAGACGTGACATTTATGTGTATATATATATATATTCATACATATAAACATATACACATATATTATGCACTGTAGCACCGTTCTCCCATTGTTCACCGATCTGCTCGAGCGGGCCCAGTAATGTCTCGGTCGTGAGACTTTGTTGTTACTGTGTTTGGCATATCGAATACGTCACGGGGAGCTTGCCAGGCTTTGCGGTGCGGGCGAGATACTCTGGGTAGCTTGCCGGGCTCTCCGAGAGGGGCGGAGGAATCGAACCCAGCTCGGCTGGGCTGGCTGCATGCAAGGCAAACGCCCTACCACTGTGCTATCGCTCCAGCCCTTTTATATTTTATAGTTTTTTAAAAAGAAAACCATGTCATTTATAATCTGATGAACCCTCATGAACCCTGAGGGTAGTGAAATAAGTCAAGAGGAAAGACAAACATCATATGATTTTATCCACATGTGGAATACAGAGGAAACAAATGAAACAAAAACAAACTTTTAGAATACAAGGGCAATTAGTGGTTACCAGAAGAAAAGGCGGCGGGGGAACAGTGGGTGTGTTGAGAAAAAAATAGAACAACTGTATGGTGAAGGACAGACCTGAATTTTTAGTGGCGAACTTAATGTCTTATGAACATATATGCACATATGCACATTCTTAATAACGACACTTACTATATATTACCTTCATCTAATACTATGAAACTTGCATACTGTTATAATACTGTTTCTTCCTTTAAAATAGAAAAGAAACTGTACAACTTTTCCAAAATGATTGCGTCGTCTCACAACCTTACAGCAATGATTTCTACTGCTCTGGATTCCCGACTTCATTTTCTATTACCAGAAATATTGCATTTTTTGAAATTTGCCTATAAGTGGACTTGGAGAATACCCTGCTGAGTGAAATGAGTCAGATGGAAAGAGACAGAGATAGAATGACTGCGTTTATTTGTGGAATAAAAAACAAAACAAAACAAAACAAAACAGCATGAAACTAATTTCCAATGATGTTCTAGGGAAAACAGGCAGGAGGGCTGGTCAAGCAGCATGAAACTAATATCCAAGGCCAAGGAAAACAGACCAGGAGGACTGGCCAATGGTGGTTGGTCCATGGTGTGGGAAATGGAGGGTAGTTAAGACAGAGGAGGACCCACGATGACTGAATTACTTGGAAATGATCACTCTGGACAAGAACTGAATGTTGAAAGCAGGCAAAGGGAGAGACACGGTAACCTTTTGAGCATCTGTATCACAAACCATAATGCCTGAAATGAGAGAGAGAGAGAGAGAGAGAGAGAGAGAGAGAGAAGAGAAGAGAGATGCCTGCTACAGAGGCAGACTGGGGTGGAGGGTGGCTTGAAGGGGTGGGAGGGAAACGGGAAACTGGTGCAGGAAAATTACACTGGTGAAGGGATGGGTGTTGGAACACTGGATGACTGGAACGCAATCATGAGCAATTTTTTAATTTTATTAAATCTCACGGTGGTTTAATAAAAATAAAAAAACCCCCAAAAATTGAAAGAAAAGAAATACTGGATTTTAGCTGCTATAATGGGTAAATATTATTCTCTCACTGGAGTTTAATTTGCATTCCCTTGATAACAAAAAACTGGTCATTTTTTTCATGTCTTTATATGCATACAAAACCCCTTAACTACATTTTATATTAAGTCCCATTTAAAAATTAAAAGTGATGGGAAATGCTTAATAAATGTCTGATGGTTGAATGAAGAGCGCTTTGAACTTCAAAATACTTTTCCATGAAAACGCACGCTCATAAGCCTACAGATGATCTCTAAACACCCCTAAGCTGAGTTTATTCGATTTAGTGCTTCGTTCACTTTTTCCCCTTGTATTCATCAACAATGATGTTCTACGTAAACTAGTTAAGCAGGGGAGAGAGATAACTGAAGACGACGCCGAAGACTACGTTCCGTCTACTACTCAAAGGCAAAGAAACTCTGAATGTGAGGCGTCCTTTGAAAGGACAAGTGAGAGTGACAGTCTAGTGGGCTGGGGTGAAAGTACAGCGGGCAGGGTGCTTGTCTGCACACCGCGAATCTGGGTTTGATCCCTGATATCCTGTATCGTCCCCCTCAGACCACCAGGGGTGATTCCTGAGGGCAAAACCAGGAGCAAGCCCTGAGTACAGATAGACGTGGCCCCCAAATAAACAAAATACAACCAAAGAAGTAGTGCTTTTTATAAAACCTAAACTTCAAAAGTTCAAAACGAGTAATATGAAAAGATATATATATATATAATTCATTCTGAAAAGTAACACAAATGATTTGGGGGGAGCACATGCTAAAAAAATACAGAAATATTTTTGTAGTCTTGGGCATGGACACATTGTTTACAAGACTGCTTGCAGAAGAAGGAAGGAAGAAGGAGGAGGAGGAAGAGGGAGAGGGAGAGGAGGAGGGGGAGGAGGAGGAGGAGGGAGGAGGAGGGGGAGGAGAAAAGGGGGGAGAGGAGGAGGAGGACAGGGAGGAGGAGGAGGACGAGGAGGAGGGAGGAGGGAAGGAGGAGGGAGGAGGAGGAGGAGCAGGAAGAGGACGAGGAGGAGGGAGGAGGGAGGAGGGAAGGAGGGAGGAGGAGGAGCAGGAAGAGGATGAGGAGGTGGAGGAGGAGGGAGGAGGAGGAGGGAGGGAAGGAGGAGGGAGGAGGAGGAGCAGGAGGAGGACGAGGAGGAGGGAGGAGGGAAGAGGGGAGGAGGAGGGAGGAGGAGGAGCAGGAAGAGGATGAGGAGGTGGAGGAGGGAGGAGGAGGGAGGAGGGAGGAGGGAGGAGGAGGGAGGAGGGAGGAGGAGGAGGAAGAGGATGAGGAGGTGGAGGAGGAGGGAGGAGGAGGAGGAAGAGCAGGAGGAGCAGGAGGAGGGAGGAGGGAGGAGCAGGAGGAGGAGGAGGAGGATGCCCAGGAGGAGCAGGAGGAGGAGGAGGAGGAGGAGGAGGATGCCCAGGAGGAGGAGGGAGGAGGACAGGAAGGAGAGGAGGAGGGAGGAGGAGGAGCAGGAGGAGGAGGAGGAGGATGCCCAGGAGGAGGAGGAGGAGGAGGGAGGAGGACAGGAAAGAGAGGAGGAGGGAGGAGGGAGAAGGAGGAGCAGGAGGAGGAGGAGGAGGATGCCCAGGAGGAGGAGGAGGAGGAGGAGGAGGAGGGAGGAGGCCAGGAAGGAGGAGGGAGGAGGGAGCAGGAGGAGCAGGAGGAGGGAGGAGGGAGGAGCAGGAGGAGGAGGAGGAGGATGCCCAGGAGGAGCAGGAGGAGGAGGAGGAGGAGGGAGGAGGCCAGGAAGGAGGAGGGAGGAGGGAGCAGGAGGAGCAGGAGGAGGAGGATGTCCAGGAGGAGGAAGAGGAGGATGCCCAGGAGGACGAGGAGGAGGAGGAGGATGCCCAGGAGGAGGAGGAGGAGGAGGAGGGAGGAGGCCAGGAAGGAGGAGGAGGGAGGAGGGAGCAGGAGGAGCAGGAGGAGGAGGAGGAGGAGGGAGGAGGCCAGGAAGGAGGAGGAGGGAGGAGGGAGCAGGATGCCCAGGAGGAGTTAGAGGAGGATGCCCAGGAGGAGGAGGAGGAGGAGGAGGCGGAGGGCGATCAGCTCACGGGACGGGGCGTCCGTCCCCCGCCGCGCCCTCACCGGCAGCCCCCGCTGCCGCAGGCTCTGCGCGATGTAGTCGAGGCGGCGGCCCACGCTCCTCCTGGCCTCGGCCGCCGCCTCCTTGGTGCTGGCCACGCGCACGGCCACCTGCGCGCGGTCGGGCGTCGCCGACACCTCGGCGCTGCCGCCCACGTGCACCTCGCGGGTCAAGGGCTGCGCCGCGGCCGGCGGCGGGGCGAGGAGGCGGGCGCCGGGCGGCGACTCCCCGGCCGGGCCCGGGCCGAGCTCCCGCGCCCGCCCGGCCCAGGGCACGAGCTCCACCAGCAGCCGCGACGGGGGCGCCGGCGGCCGCGCCATCATCATGGCGGCCGCGTTCCCATAGCGACCGCGGGGGGGGGCGGGGGGGACGGACGGCGGCCGCCGGGGTCCAAGCGCCGCGCAGGCGCAGCGAGCGTGGCGCAAAGCCTGTCGGGACGGGGCGGGCGCGCTGGCGGAGGGGAGGCGCCGCGCGGAGCTCGGGGCGTCGGCGTCGTGTGTGGCTGAGGGACTGTCGGTGCCACGCCGGGTCCGGAAACTTTTGAAAACCACCGTGCAGGGGCCGGAGCGACAGCACAGCGGGGTTGGGCGTCTGCCTTGCCGCGTGCAAGGCAAACGCCCTGGGTTCGGTTCCCAGCACCCCGTATGGTCCCCTGCGCACCGCCAGGGGTAATCCCTGAGGGAAGAGCCAGGAGTTAGCCCTGTGCGTCGCCGGGTGTGACCCCAAAACAAAAAGAAATAAGAAAGCAAGCTCCTCTTGGGACTGGAGGAACAATAGCACAGCTGTACTATTTGCCTTGCACGTGGCCGACCCGGGTTCGATTCCCAGCAGCATCCCACAGGGTCCCCTGAGCACCGCCAGGGGTGACTCCTGACTGAAGAGCCAGGAGTAACTCCTGTGCATCGCGGGCTGTGACCCAAAAAGCAAAAAGCAAACAAAAAAACATTTTAGCGGCCCGAGTTCTACTACAGCAGAACTTTGCCTCGCAAGCGGCGGACCTGGGTTCGACTCCTGGCGGCCCATTTGGCGCCTTGGACAACCACCCGCAGCGATTCCTGAGTGCAGAGCTGGGGGGTGCAAGCCTCGAGCTCCTTCGGGTGTGGCCCACCCTGTCTGTTGCCCCCAGCAAAGAAGAACAAAACTCGCCGTGGGGAGCGCCCGCTGCCTCCCCCAGCAGCGCCTTCCAGTCAGCGCGACCTGGTTTGCCTTTGTCTCCAGTTTCTGTCTGTCATGACCGACCAGGCTGTTCTACCTCAGTTGATGATGATGATGATGATGATGAGGTGGAGGAGAGAGGCGGCCTCAGACTGACTGTCCCGGCTCGTGAGGGACTTCGGTTCGAATGCACAGCTTTTATTTATTATTTATTTATTTCCCAGTTTCACATCTTAGGCAGTTTTGATCCTTTTTTTAAAAATAGTATTTATTTTATTTTACTTTTTTTTTTATTAGTGGAACACTATGAGGTACAATTCTAGACTTACAAACTTTCGTGCTTGTGTTTCAGTCATACAATGATCGAGTACCCATCCCTCCACCAGTGGCCATTCTCCACCACCACTGATCCCAGTATCCCTCCTGCCCCCCATCCCCCCCCATCCAACCTTGCCTCTGTTGATCCTTTTTGACCCTTGTCATGGTCCCCAAATGCCTGGCATGAGCACATTCCACCTCAGCCGGTGTTGGTGAGGTGCCCATCGTGTATGGAGCATGATTGCTAGGGGTAGGCAGAGAGAAAATCAAGGAGGACTTGCAGCTAGAGGAGGAAAGGTGTATCTTCCCTCCCTTCAGCCGGGCTTGGAGAGACTGAGCCCACTCAAAGCTTAGACCTGACTAAAACCATGTCACTTAGAACACGACCCCAGATCCAGGTTCTACTCTGAACACCTTTAAGTAGTTTTTCTTCTTACTCGAAAGCACTAAGTAGTGATTCATGGAAAAACAGCCTTCCAGTTTCATGGGAAAGGAAGAAACTGGATTTCCACTCCATCCCCCTGATTTTTAAAGGATTGTTCCATTTTAAAAGGAACCAGAAAAGCAGCTGGTGGGACTGGAGCACTAATGCAGCCCATAGGGCGCTTGCCTTGAAAGAAAACCACCTGGGGTAGACCCCTGGGACCCCATTTGGTCCTTGGAGCTCCCTAGGAGTAATTCCTGAACAGAGCCAAGAGTAACTCCTGAGCATCACCAGGTGTGGTCCAAAACCCTAAAAGCAAAACAACAGCAACAATGACGACAAAAACAGAAAAGCGGCTGGCATTGTTCATATCCTCTACCATATTTTCCTTTTTGATTAGCAAGATATTTTTTAAAAAATCATTTTTGTTAAAACACCCTGATTTATAAAGTTGTTCATAATACGTTTGTTTTAGGGATTCAAGCATACAGTGTTCCAACACCGATCCCACCACCACCAGTGTGACCTTGCCTCCACCAATGTACCCAGTTTTCCTCCCTCTCCCCCATAGACTCTCTTAACAGGCCCATAACAAATTTAGTTAATACTGTGATTAGGAAGATAATTAAACAAGATGGCGCCTTCTCCTTTACCTACGGTTTAAATTATTTCAAAATAGAATAGATCTATTTTGGTGTTATGTGACAGTCTTGCCCGCTTTGCAAACCCTGGCAAGCTACCTGTGATGTATTCGATATGCCAAAAACAGTAACAACAAGTCTCACGATGGAGATGTTACTGGGCCCGCTCGAGCAAATTGATGAACAATGGGAGGACAGTGCTATGCTACAGTGCTATGTGACAGTAATTTGCAAATTAACTTTAAAAACATTTTCTCTATAATTTTTACAGCTAAGAACATCCAAAATAGTATTTCTTGATTTGTGTGGAAATTCTATTTTCCTTATGAAAAATGTGGAACAATATAATCCTTGAATTGCTGAATGAGTGAAAGTCATAAGCAAAAAGCATCAGGTTTTAATTTTTGGGATTTGATGTTTTTGGTTTTTGAGCCACACCTGGCTGTGCTCAGGTGTTATTTTTGGTCCTGCGTTCAGGGATCACGTGGTACTCCAGGTACCATGTAGGGGTCCTGGGATAGAACCCGGGTGGTAAGCAAGCTTCTTTCCGCTATTTTATCTTTCCAGCTGGTGTTTTTAAATTTGATTTGTAATTGATTCACAGTATTATGGAATTTCAAGAGTTTAAGTTCACACATACCTGTTATCATACAACACTCCCCACTAAAGTTCTAGTATCATCCCACCACTAAAAAGATCCCTCTACTTCCCTCCTGTGCCAAGCTTTCTTTCTGACCCATGATCACCATAGCTTTTACCAATTCTAGGGAGTTATTTTTTGTTTTAATTTTGCCAGTTTGTTTAAAAGCAACTGGAGTCTTGGGCACATACTGTTTTTTTTTTTTTTTAGTACATAATAAAAACAGAAGTCAAGTAAGTGTGAATTAGTGACGTAGAGCCAATTGGTAAGGGCTGGACCAATAGCACAGTGGGTAGGACATTTTCCTTGCACGCAGCCGACCTAGGTTGGTTTCTGCGTCCTTCTCGGAGAGCCCAGAAAGCTACCAAGAATATCCCAAGCACACGGCAGAGCCTGGCAAGCTCCCCATGGAGTATTCGATATGCCAATAACAGTAACAACAAATCTCACAATGGAGACGTTACTGGAGCCCTCTCGAGCAAATCGATGAACAACGGGAACAACAGGAGGACAGTGCTACAGTACTACCATTTGCACATAATAAATGGCTCATATTTTCCCCAATTAATTTTTCCCATCACCTTTTTTATTTTGACTTAACAGACTGAAATTGACTTAAATGAAGCTAAAGTTTTCAAAGCTTTTCTTAAAGCTGCTTCTTTTGAAATTATGCAGAGAAAGGCCCTCCTACACCTAATTTTTTTAATTCATCTACATTTTTTTGAAATATTATCTGAATTTTATTTTCACTATGTAACATATACATCCGTTTTTTAAAATTACTCATTAAAATTGGTTTATGTTGTGAGTTAGTGGTTAAAAATAGAAACTAGGGATAGAGCAATAGTACAGCCAGTAGAGTGCTTGCCAACTTGGGTTCAACCCTTGGCATCCCATATGGTACCACCCCCCCCCCCCCCCCACCAGCACCACCAGGACTAATTCCTGATTACAAAGCCAGGAGTAACCCCAGAGCATCACTGGGTGTGGCCAAAAAACAAAACAAAAAAAAATTGGAAACTAAAAACATGGAATAGAGACTTGCATTTGATTAAAGCAACTTAAGGTTGATGTTTTGTTCAGAACTACTAAGAGATATTTAATTATTTTCAACATTGTTATAACATAAGTTAATTGCCTATTGAAAATTGTAATAAGTAAATGAAGAAATAAAGGATGTCCTAAAGTGGTAGAATGAAAATTAATGTAATTTTGTTGAACCACAGCATACAAAATTTTCTAAAAGGAAAAGATTATTAACAATGTCTAATGATAGGTGGAAAAAGTGGGGCCAGATTGATTGTACAGCGGGTAGGGTGCTTTCCTTGCATGCAGCCAACATAGATTAGGTCTCCACATATGATTCCCCCAAGCCCTGTGGAATGAGCACTGGGAGAAAAGCCAGGTCTGAGCACCATTGGGTGTGATCCCCAAACTAAGGATGTTGAATATAACTAAGATCTGTTGAATATAACTTTAGAAAATTTTCAGTGGACTTTAACGAATGATTTAATTGGAATCTGGATGACAAATTGGTGACTTAATAAGAAAGATGATCATTTGTTAATATTGTCTGAAGTGAAGTTTTGATTTGTTTTGGGGCCACACCTGGCAGTGCTCAGGGTTTACTCCTGGCTCTGCACTCAGAAATTACTCCTGGTAGATGCTCCCAGGATGAGAGATGTATGCTGAAAGTAGACTATAGACTGAACATGATTGCCACTCAATGCCTCTTTTGCAAACCACAGCACCCAAAAGGAGAGAGAGAACAAAAGGGAATGCCCTGCCACAGAGGTAGGGTGGGATGGGGTAAGGGGAGTGGGAGGGATACTGGGACTGGTCGTAGTGGAGAATGGGCACTGGTGGAGGAATGGGTACTCAATTATTGTATAACTGAAACCCAAGCACAAAAATTTGTAAGTCTACAACTGTACCTCATGGTGTTTCACTATAAAAATTAAAAAGAAAAAGAAATTACTCCTGGTAGTGCTCAGGGGGCTATATGGGATGCCAGGGATTCAACATAGGTCTGCCACGTGTAAGGCAATCACCCTACCTGCTGTATTATTTATTTCTCTGACTCCTGAAGTGATTTTTTTTAAATGAGAAAAAGTAATTGAATTCAGGCTTTACAGATATGAA